CTCTGTGAGTTCAAGGCCAGCCTGATCTACATAGTGAGTTCCAGGACAGCTGGAAAAAAAAAAAAAAAAAAAAAAAAAAAAAAAAAAAGTGAGTCATTGTAACATTTGGTAATAAAACATGAATATATTCACAAGATATACTAATGGGCATAAGTTAATATAGACTTATAATAGTAACCTTTACAAGGTAAGGGTTTTTTGTTCAAACCACTTATAATGATTAATATTGGTTGACAACTTAACTGGATCTGGAATTGGCTAAAAGACAGACTACTTGGCACCAGTGAGGGTTTTCTTGATGAGGTTTTTGAAGCCAGCAGGCACATACTAAATGTGGATGGCACATCCAGTGGCAACCCAAATTAAAGGAAGTCCAAGAAAGGAGCTTTGCTTTTTGCCTACTTGACTTTGTTCTCACTGGCAAGTCCATGTGCTCTGCTGCTGCTGTTGCTGCATTCCTTCACTCATTCCAGAACCCAACTTCTTTGGACTTCCAATCTGTACTAAGACCAGCAGCTTTCCAGGAATCCTCCTGGCCTTCAGTGCTAGGTTGGGAATGCTGGGGCATCCAGCCTTGTGGACTTAGCAGCTAATAGATTCTGGGCCTCTCTGGTACCAGACAGCCATGGCTGGATTACCCAGATTGTATCACATTAAAAACACCCCTTTTTAACATGTATTTATCCTATGGGGTTTGTTCCTCTAGGGAACCATGACTAATACACAACCTCAAGGAGGCTTTATTAGGACTTAGGTTATAGAATAAAAGGAATAGTAAATGGACCCCAAGTTGATTCAGTTTTACATACCAGTTCCATGAAGATACATGCAAATTAGCAAGTAACATTCAGTTTCATACCACCAACATGATTAGCATTAGACAACTAAAATTTAAAAAGATGATTAAAACAGAGACAAGAACCCAGAAATAAGACTCATAACTTAGTTATTTGATGCAATGGAGAAGAAAGTTTCTAACAAAGGAAACTGGAAAAACTAAATGGTCATTGAAAAAAAAAGTTCAATCTCTTTTATGAGAGGCCAACATGGCTAATGTTTGTAAGATAGAGTAACAAAAAATAGGAAGCACACACAGAGAACTCAGGAAGATTACAAAATGTACACCAAGTCATGAGTTGAGCACTGACCAGCACATCACATGAAGGAAATTACTGTAGTCTCAACAAAAGACCACCCCAAAAGAAGAGAGGGACTAAGTCTTGGAGCTTACATAGAGTCAGAAACATTTCCTACTTCCATCAGCTAGAACAGAAGTACTTGTAATTCATATACATTGGGCAGACTGCTCAGAAAGGCTGTTGTAAAGGGGAAAGATTAGCCATAGACTAAACACTGCTTGGTCCCACTTAAAAGCAAGACCTAAAAAGGGTCAAGACATTCACAAGTAACTGTATCCCAGAAGAAAGGTCAAGAATCCCACAAATTACAATTCTGTGTTTTGCTCTAAACAAAAATAACCAAGCATAAAATAGTCAACCATTCAAAACCAACCTCTAAATGACAGAGATGATAAGATTAGTGGACAAGGACACTTATAATGATCACTATAACTGAATTCCATTTGTACAACTAGAGAAGATTGGTCCTGGTAGTTAGAAATAAGAAAGATGGGCTGGGGAACACAGCTCAGTTGTAGAGTGTTTGCCTAGTATACAGACACCCTGGTTTTGAGTCCGAGAACAAAGGGGGAAAAAAAAGATGGATACCAGACTTGTAGAAGGGAAGACCAAAAGACTAAAAGAAAACTTGAATTTTCCAAAGCTGGTAAAAATGATTACTTCATAAATCAACGAAGCTCAATTAAAACCTAAGCAAAAGAAAAATGATTGAAGTTATACCAAGGAACATCATCACCAAACTCATTAAAACCAAAGTTTCAGGCAAAAAAACCCAAAAACAGAAACAAAAACAAAACCTAAAAAAGTGAAAACAGCAAAAGAAAAATGACACATTATTTACAAGGGAATAAAGCTAAGAGTAAGAATTACAAAAGAGTTCCCATCACAAACAATGTAAGCAACAGTGGAGCAATGCTGCTAAAATATTAAAAGAAAAAAAAATCAACTTAGAGTTCTGTAGCTCGTGAACAAATATTTGTAAAAAAGAAGACATGATAAACATTACACAGAGATAAGAGCTGAAGGAGCCCACCAGCAGCCTGCACTGTAAGAACTCTAAACGGAATCCTACAAACAGAAGAAAATGACTCCATATGGAAAGTTGCTCTTCACAGAAGAATAAAGAGTATGAGAAATGATAAACAACAAGGCACAGAAGACCTTTCTACTCAGTGCTTAAATCTCTTTAAAGAATAAATGACGATTAATATATTATGCCATTCATAGCATAAATACAAACAAAACAATACCCCCCATAACAGCACAAAGATAGGAAGAGAATGAATGCAAGAATGCTGTTGTAATGTTATACTATATTTGAAGTATAATAAATCATTTGAAAATAGACTTGATACAGATGTATCCTATTAACTCTAAATCAAACGCTGAGACTGGAGAACAGTGAACTATAGCCAAGAAATCAGGAGGGCAGAGAAAAATAGATGGGACAAACAGAAAAATACAGCAAGATGGGATATTTGAATTGTACAGAATGTAAGTAATGTAAAAGCAGTAATTAGATGTCATGAGTGACTAGAAAAAGCAAGTTGAACAACACTTTACATATATTAAAACCACATTCAATGCAAAGGCACAAATAGACAGAGGGGAAAAGGGATTAAAGATAAACCAACTTAACATTGAGTAAAAGAATGCAGAAGTACAATTCTTTAAAAGAAATAAATATGTGTAACATTGTCTCACAATCTTCCCCCCTAACATTCCTCCTAGTAACAGATTAACAGGGCCTGAAGGGCTCCAGTCAGTCAACTGAAGTATGTTCCGCCAGCTCCTCTCTCACACACATACTCTGACTTAAAAGAGCTTGTTATTCTGAAGACCAAACTGTCTTCTCTCCAGGCTTCACTAGGAGACACTTCTCCCAGGGAGAAAGATGCATAGAACTCTTTCACATCTCTCAAGCCCTCCATGTATTGGTTCCCTGTGATGGCCTGGCTACAAGCTCAGTAACATGTTCACACATACTTCCTGTTGCACAGAAGGAGGAATCCAGTGTCACTTCATCCAGGGGAATCACAAGTTGACCTCCAACCTCCCATTTCCTGCGATCAGAGGAAACAGGATTCTCTTTCTCATGCTCTTTGGCATCTTCATCCACAATGACCTCACAAGAATCGGAGTGATGCTGCTTTTCTTTCTCATCTTCTTGAGCTTTAAGATTTTCGTTTAGCCTGCGAAGTATTTCTCGCTTACTCTGAAACAGTTATATTTTAATAAGCGTATTATTAAATAAAATGCCTGATGGGAAATTTTTGAAAATTGCATTGAAATTCACTTACTGAAATTGCATTGTTGCTCTTTTGCATTTCTTCTGAAACTTCTTGGATATCAATTAAACTTCCATCCTTTAAACATAAACAGTTATAGAGTAATAAATACTATGATTTTAGAAGTTTCTGCTAAAAACACCTGATATTTTGGTTATTTTTAGTTTTTCATTAAATTGATCATTGTAAACATTTTTTGTTCCTGTAAATTGTTAACACAACTTTTTTCATTATCAGCAATGATGAACATTTAAACATTCTCATATTTTCATAAATAATATATGAAAGGGTCAATTCTCGACTGTTTGTCATATTTCTAGATTAACATATTTAATGATCTCTTCCTCTCTGGCAGCTAATTTTTGACAATTTAAAGTTAACAGTAGAGGGGGCTGGAGAGATGGCTTAGCGATTAAGAACACTAACTGTTTTTGCAGAAGACCCGGGTTTGAATCCCAACACCCACATGGCAGCTAACAACTGTCTGTAACTCCAGTTCCAGGGGCTCCAACAGCCTCTTCTGTCCTCCATGGGCATTGCCCAACATGGGTACACTTATCTACATACAGGCAATACACTCATACACATAAAATAAAAATAATAAATAAAAAAAGTTAACAGTAGAAATGAAGAGAAAATTCATATACTTTGCTAATTAGAGCTAGGAAAAGTGTGTGTGTGTGTGTGTGTGTGTGTGTGTGTGTGTGTGTGTGTGTGTGTTTTAAGTACAGTCCTGGGACAGAACTTGCCTCATGCAAGTGTTCTATCATCCAAGCTAAATCCTCAGTCCCAGGGAAAGTTTTGGTAGGTAAAATGGTAAAATAATTGGAGATAGGATGTATTATTTTGAAACCATCTTTATGTTTCACATACACATATATGTAGATTCACATACACACACACACACACACACACACACCACACACACACACACCACACATATTAAGCCATGATATTAAACATAACTGAGAATGGGCTTTCTTCCTTAAGAAGGAACATATCAAGAATAGATTCTGACTCATTTGTACCGTTAATAATGTTAAATTTTGCTTCTGATTAGTATAATGAAGGTAATCTAAAACAGCCTAGAATTTTAAAATACATGAAAAGGAAAAGATTTAGTAGTTATGAAGGCTATGAAAGAAAGCAAAATATTTAGAAGACACAGTGAAACAAAGTAATTTTCCAAGTTTTAAATAAGCAGTTTCTATCAAAGTAACAGTAAGAAAAACCATTTAGCCACATGGATTATCTCAAATTGTGTAATATTTGAAAAAAATAGAAAAGAACAAAGTGGTTAGATTTAAAGTAACACATGTAAATGAGACAAGGTGGATTTTACCCAGGAAAGTAAACAGAGAGATGAGGAGCTACTTGAGAGGTGAGACTAGGTACCAGGAAGCAAACCACACAGTGGTGTCTAAAGCTGAATGAACAATGAGGCACATGTAAAGTCCTTATCAGAAAGAGATGAAATCTACCAGGATAACAATGGTTTCTTATATGATGTCCAGAAGAGTGATCAGAAACACTCTGTACTGTCTTTTAAAACTTTCTTTGGGTTGATTTTTATTTCATGTGTATAAGTGTTTTGTTTGCATGTACCTAAGTGCACCTGTGTGTTCAATATCTGCAGAGGCCAGAAGAGGGTGTTGGATCCCCTGGAACTGGAGTTACAGATGGTTATTAGCCACTGTGTGGATGCTGGGAACTGAACTGGGGTTCTATGTAAGAAAAGCTAGTGCTCTTAACTGCTGAGCCATCTCTCCAGTCCCTTGCATTCAGTCTTTGAGGATAAACACACAGTAAAAAGTTTGTGGAACTTCTATAGTATGAAAAAACTTAATGAATCTCATTGTCTATTCTGGAAATTAATCCTTTATCAGACGTATAGCTGGCAATGATTTTTTTCCCACTCTGTGGGCTTCCTCTTCACTCGACTGGTTGTTTCTTTTGCTGTACAGAAGGTTTTTAGTTTAATGAGGTCCCATTTGTCAACTGTTGACCTTAATTCATGAACAGAGTCAGATGCAGAAAGACCTTTCTTGCACTTATAGCTTGTAGGGTACTGCCTATGCTTTCTTCCAACAGTTTCAGCATTTCAGGTTTCACACTGAGGTCTCTGATCTGTTTGGAGTTTGGGTGATAGATATGGGTCTAATTTCATCAGTCTACACGTGGAGATCCAGGTTTCCCAGCACCATTTGTTGAAGATGCTCTTTTCTCCAGTATATATTCTTGGCCTCATTGCTAAATACCAGGTGGCTCTAATTGCATGCATTCACGTTTGGGTCTTCTATTTTGCTCCATTGATCTATATATCTGTTTTTGTGCTGATACTAAGCTGTTCCTAGTATGGTAATCCATGCAGTATCGCTTTTTATTCAGGATTGCTTTGGCTATCTGGGGTCTTTTGTTTCCACAGGAAAACATATGGCTCAATTAAAAAATGGGTTACAGATATGAACAAACAGTCCTCAAAAGAAGAAATAAAAATGTATGAGAAATATTTAATAACATTCAATATCCTTAGCAATTAGGGAAATGCAACTTAAAATTACTGTAAGATTTCATTCCACATTAGTCAGAATGACTAAGATCAAGAAAAGAAATGACAACAAATGCTGGCGAGGATGTGAGGAAAGGGGGAATCCTTGTTCACTGCTGGTGGGATTGCAAACTGGCACAGCCACTGTGGAAATCAGTCTGGAGAACTAAAAAAACTAAAAACTGATCTATTACATGATTCAACAACTATACCACTTCTTAGCATATACCCAAAGGACTCAATACTTTATTACAGAGACACTTGATCAACCGTGCTTGGTTGCTGTTCTTTTACAATAGCTAGGAAATGCTAACAACCAAAATGTCCCTCAACCAATGAATGGATAATGAAAACGTGGCACATTTACACTATGGAGTTCTATTCAGCAGTAAAGAAAGACAAAATCATGAAATTGGCAGGTAAATGGATGGAACTAGAAACCATTATACTAAGTGAGGTAACCCAGACTCAGAAAAACAAACAATGCATGCTCTTTCATTTGTGGATACTAGCTCCAAATCCCTAGATATGAGTGTATATCCTGATATAATCACAGGAGCCAGAAAAATGCAGAGTAACCACTGGGGGAAAGTGGAAGAAGCTTGAGAAAGGGGGGATAGTAAGAAACACGAGTTATCAAGGGGGAAATGGGGAAAATAGGAGGTCACTTTAACTGGGGGAAGGGCTATACAGGGGCAGAGAGAGGTAAGAGAAATAAGTAATACTTAAGTGGTGTGAAAAACCAAAGGGAAATAAAGTATTTAATAAGCCTACTGAGAAATGCACATAATATAAATGTGAGTGCATGTGTACACCCAAAGGCTATATAGTAAAAAGCACAGTGCCAAGCAAGGGAAACCTCCCTTCAAGTTGTTGGTCAGAGTAGCCCAAAAGACTCCCAAAATAATATAGGTTATTGCCACAGCCCTTGATTGCCTAGTAAGACCCTATTGCTGAAGATATGACATACTTCAGACATAGAACTTGGAACAACTGAGCTGGAACTTAGAAGCCTCCTCTATGAAGACTAGCTCTCAGAGTATCAGAAGACACTATGTAACCTGCCAGGAATGAAAACCAATCAATGATCCTACCCAGCTTTAAAACCTATAAACCAAAACAGCGACCAGCCCAGCAAATTATCTCTATTGGTGTAGTAGTGGCACTTGTATCTTGGGGGAAATCAAAGGCTGTCTAATTGGATCTAAAGCCCACTCAATGGGTAGGAACTTATGTGTGGCACAATAAACATTACCAAGTATAATTAGCTAGAGAGGTCATAGACCCTAGAGAAAAAACCCTAGTTATTTCCCTGTACTAACATAATTTCTTACTGCATTCTAAATATGTATCTTTATTTTACAGACAAGTGTACCTCTCATTACTCACCAAAGAAGCTTCTTTTTGCAACAGATGGTGACTATTACAGAGTTCCACAACTGGTCAAATGCAGAGAATATGTGACTATGAGTACCAGCCATAAGTGACACAACTACAATGCAGCCTTTACCCAAGAATCAGGGAAGCAGAGGGGCAGGGAGAATTTAAGAGCCAGATAGATAGGACACCTGCTGCTAGTTATTGCATTCTAGACATGATATGGAAGCTGCACCAATGAAATCTCCATAGTATGATAGTCTAACGAGTTTGCATGCCAAAGTGGATGGAAGGAATGTCACAGTATCGTTCTCGTTCTCCAAGATGAGGAGCTATAGGCAATCAAGAGATGCTGAGGGAGGATCAGTTTTTTCTGGAGACTAACACCCTGAGTAGTTATCTAATCCCAAGTGGGCAGTCCTAAACACAGGTACAGATGAACACCATGAAATGGACTCAATGTATTATATATCATGTGTATATGATATATCATATATTTATAAATGTATGTATGTATATGTAACAACAATAAAGACAAGAAACAGAGGGAGTACGGGGACATTGGAGAAGTCAATGGGGGACTAGGAGGGAGGGAAAGAATGCAAAGACAATACTCCTGTGTGAAAATTTCTAAAAGAAAAAACTTAATCTCAAGAAATAAAGACACAGACAGTATCAAGATGAGAAAACATGAGGTTAATAAGTTGTATGATTCAATAGACTATTTTTCTTCTACCATTTAAGTCCAGGCAGGCAGTCCACAGTATGAGCCATTTCTTTTAGCCTTGAACAGTCTTCATATTTTGGATAGGTACCTGGTAGATACTTGCAAGCTTAAACTTTTTACTTGTCCATATTTCTTTGTTCTCAAGAAGACCAACAATACAAAACAAAACTAAAAAAAACCCCAAACCAAAACAAAAACAGAGTTTCAAAAGAAAAGTTTAAAAGAAAATAATCCACGAACTAAATGTAATTACACTGAATATCATTTGCTATGTTACAAGAGTTCAAATAAATGTAAACATATGTTGGAGTTTGTTTCTAGAGTTAGTTGAAAAGAGATACAATTTTTTAAAACATTGCTAATCATGAAGGCTAGGGTATAAAAATGTTTCCTGCATTACTTTGAGCATATTTTCTAAAAATATTATATTGTTTATTATTTATTTTGTGTGTATGTACATGCACACTACTACTGCACACATACTGAAGTCAAAAGATAATCTGGGGAGTCGGTTCTCTCCTTCTACCATGTGGATCCCAGGGATCAACCTTAGATCTTCAGGCTTGCCATCAAGCAGCTTTACCCACTGAGCTATCTTCCCAATCTGGCAAGTATATATTTTTTAACACTGATCCTCACACCCTAAGTATCCATGAGAAATGAGTTCTAGCACCACTCTACACCCTTGTCAAAAATCAATAGGTGCTCAAGTCTCATATTTAAAATGGCATAGTATATACATATAGCCTATGTACATCCTCCATATACTTTAAACCATCTCTAGATTACTTATAATAGTGAAAAGAATGCCATGCTATATAATAGTTGTTATACTGTTGAATGACAAGAAATATCAGAGGGCTGACCACGTGATACAATATCAGCAACAACATGATTTTTGTTCTTAAACACTTTTGATCTGAGACTGGTTAACTGTGTTTGTGGGGCCCTCAGAAGCAGAGTGCTCACTGCATATTTCTACAATGGAGTCCTAGATGAAATCTATGGGCAGAAAAGTTCCAAAACTCAGAGAAAAAAAATTAAAGTGTTATTTTTTTCTCTAGAAAAACAAAAGGAGACATTAGGAATTAATATCACTTTACTAAATTTTCATTTAAAATAACTTTTAACTTTGAGGAATTCTAAATCGTATGAAACTTACCATACCCACTTCTTTCAGAGCAGAACTCACAGAAATAATAGGTCTCATCTGCTGCTTTGATGGAGAACCACCCGTTTCATGATGTACCAAAGGTGGAGAAACATCAGAACACTTCACTCTAGCCACTAACTGTAAGAGAATTAAGTACACTAGATTTCATATTTGCACGAAGAAATAAAAGGTCCCAAGATTACTGTTTATGCCCAGTATGTACAGATAGTTTTCCTATTCCTTACTCATTAAGTCAGGCACTATATGTGCTAGAGACAGAACAGTGAACAAGAAAAAAACCTCTGGAGTCATTTAAGTATAACCATGTCACACACTCCACACACACACATACACAAAAAAGTAAAAATAGTTAATAAAATAGTATTTTTAAAGCTCTTCTAAAACATTCACTCCTAATACTAGTACTTTATTTTAAACTAATACAACATTTGGTGGGAAAATATTTTATTAATCTTGCACCAAAAATAAATGATTCTGAAATTTCTCCCAAGTTTTGGTGTAATCTCCTTAAAGTTTGAAAATCAATTTTTCAACACAAGAACACTTACTATAAAAATATCAATGTGAATGAGACAGGAGGAGTGACAGGTGCAGAAAGTAAGATTTGCTTATTATGTTTATTATACAATAGTCATTTCGACTCTGATACGAAGACTGTGAACTTTTATCAACACGAGAAAAGGGCATCTACAGGGAGGCTGACCATAGCACGGCAGGAAGTCTTGCTGCTGGCTTCCATTCTCCCTGAAGTCAGAAAAATAAGACTTTCAGAAGTTGACATCTCAAACACAGATGTATATGTGTATATGTGTGTGTATGTGTGTGCGTGTATTTATATATCATTTTTCTTTCTTTTTTGAATTATTTACTTACTTGTTTTTATGTGTATGAGTGTTTTGTCTGCATATATGCAGTGCACCTATGTGTATAACACCCAAGAAGGCCAGAAGAGGGTGTTGGATTCCCTGGAACTGAAGTTACAGGTGGTTGTTACCCTAGCTGCCATGTGGGTGCTGGGAACTGAACTTTGGTCCTCTGTAAGCAGGCAGTGCTCTTAACCATTGAGTCATCTCTCCAGATCGCCTTCTTTCTTTTTGAGATAGGAGTTGAGCTATGCTGCCCAGGCTGCCTCCAACTCATTATACAGCCCAGCATGGCCTTCAACTCATGTCTCAGCCTCCTGAATGCTGGGATTATGGACATGCAGCACATCTAGCTAAGAAGCTTTTTGTTTTGTTTTTCTTAGGGCAATGGGAATTGAATCCAGGGCTTGGTTCATGCTAGGTGAGTCCTTTACTACTGAGCCATATCATTGGCTCTTATAAGACAGATTTTAAAACCCTATAGAAATCCCCCCACATCCTCACAAGACTCATAAATTTAAGACACTTCCACATTACCTACATCTGCACAAAATGGTTTCAGTTGTCACTGTAAAGTTTTCTGTTTCATATCTCAGTTTTATTATGTGCTGAAAAATTAATCAGCAGTGCCACCAAATGACAAAAATCAAAATTTCACAAAAATGGGGCCAGTTTTATACACACAAAACCACAGGTTTAACTACTCTTGAGGCACAGAACAACTGCCATTTCATCTCTATACACTAATTAGTAAAGATAGTATGTTAGAAAAATATCAAAAGGGCTTGACTTCCTACTCTGAATATAGTATAATTTCATATGTACTTCTGTAGATACATCATGGTCAGATTTCTCTCTGAAGAACCAATCACAGAATATCACAAGTGAAAAGTTCCACATCTGATCTCATGTGACAGGGTGAAAATGAAAAAAATTATTACAGCAGAAACAATTAAGTGAAACAAAATAGGAACTCATCATAATAAAAACACTGTCTCTGACAATATAGAATGTCTTTAATTCTATTTTCACTGAATTTTAATTTTTAAATATATTGATGGTCTTTAAAATGTAATTGAATATCTTCCTCGCCATCCACAATATGAGCATACATCCTGGCTAAGAAAGGCAATATTACATAATCTGAATTAAAAAAATTTTTTGAATTGTGATTTTCATAAAATACAATTTGATGGTATTTAGATTCTTTCCCTCTGTGCACCTCCCTTACTGCCCTCTGACCAGTGTAAAGTACATATAATCTAGATTTTTTAAAAAGATCTATCATAAACTATTCTATATATTTAAATCCCATTTAATACTATAATTTTCATCATTAAATGTATCAATAAGAAAATTATATAAAATTGGGTATTTGCCAATGAATCCGAATTATTAAAGTAGTGATTTTTATGCTTGTTCATCCAAATACTTTTTAAAAACTCAATGAAGCCGGGTGTGGTGGCGTACATCTGTAGTCCCAGCACTCAGGAGGCAGAGGCCAGAGGATCTCTGTGAGTTCAAGGCCAGCCTGGTGTACATAGTGAGTTCCAGGCCAGCTGGTGCTACAGGGAGACCCTGTTTCAGAAACAACAACAACAACAACAACAACAAAAACCTCAATGAAAGAATGAGGCCTTACTTAATAAAATGCATTAATACATATAATCAAACAATATTTCAGAGAGTTCAGGTAATGTTAGCTCCAACTCTGAATAACATGTCAACTATTCCCAAGTTACATTAATGGTCAATAAGTAAATACAGGCACACCAAGTCTCCCATATAATATCTAGATTATTCTATATTAGAATGTCTATATAAATAAATAGTTGTTGAAGTAATTTCAATCCATTTTTTGTAGGTTATGCTTCCAGTAGCTCAGGATCATATAACTTAGAAATTTAGATTATGAGGACTTTTTTTCTGGGGAATATAGATAAAGCAAAATTAGAGATCATGCCTTTCATATGAGGAAATAAAGGTCCATAAACATCAATCTACTACTCAGGTTAATTAGCTGACAGAGCTGAGACCAAAAATCAGATATACTGATTTCCAGACTCGTTTTCCCTCCCCATACCAGGCTACATTCAGAAAATAAATGTTTACTGGGCAGTTCACAGATTTGACACAAGATGAGCCACAAAATTCTCAACAATCTTATTGATTTTTTTTCTTATCCTTACAGTGACAAAGCCCACATTTTCAGTTTCCTGAATTATATGAACCTGAGCTACTGGAAGCATAATATTCTCAATCATCCCTATGAGTAGGAGCCATATGATGAGGAAACGGTTACTTTTATAAATGTGCTATGCCAATATCCCATATGCCAATCACAGAGTGAACTAAGACAGAATCATTCATCCAACCCAGGGGGAACACAGGTAACAAAGCAAAGAAACTGAAGGTCTGTTGCCAAAAGGAGACCTATATGTGCATGCTGATGGGAGCCCATAAGGAGTAGCAGGCTCAGTGTCTAACACTGTGGGGAACTGTGTGGTGAAAGCTGTCAGAATATCTTCAAATACTTCTGTGTTCCATAAGATTCTGGAGGAATTCACACTTTTATAATAAAGCTGTACTGAACTGAGTTAATCATATTTCACTGATCAAGTATTATCTCCATCACATTCATAGGCAATGTGGAATGTTGGAACAGATTTTTTAAGATTAAACTAAAAATTAGGATGAGCAATGGTTCTTAAAACGTGCATTTGTGATATTGAAGCCAAACACAAGGATGAAAGTAGTAAGCTCACCATGAGAAAAACCAACTGTGTGCGTGCGCACGCGCGCACACACACACACACACACACACACACACACACAAACGGAGTTTTACATTTATTTATCTTGATACAATCCTTGCCAACTGTGAAAATCAACATGTACTAGTAAGTTTTTACTTCTTGGGCTGAAGACAAGATTCTGGGCCAGTTACTGTAGACTGTTACCAATTGGTGTAAATGTATGTCACCAAAGGTAGGCTCACATTATTTTTGAGGGCAGAATAAGGCTGGAAGAATTTTGAATATTACAAGAAACCACTAGCTCTGACTCTTAAAAGAAATTATTCTAATTCTCAGAAACTTTGTTTTCTTGAAGCAAAAGTGTTAAACTGTCAGTTATTGCTTCATATTAATCCTCTATTGATGTCTTTTTTTTTTTTTTTCTGTCTTTTTGAGACAGGGTCTCCCTGTAGCCCCAGCTGTCCTGGAACTCACTATGTAGATACTATGTCTTTTTAAAAGTAAAGGAAAAAGAAGGAACACTAGATTAAGACTATGATTCAAGCAGTGTAGTACTTTAAATACAGCCAGGTAACATTTTGGCTGGTGAATTAGGAAACAAGTCGTGGACATACTTCGCCACAGTTACTGTGTCATTATTCAAATCTTGCTTACGCTAAGTCTAAAGTCTAAGAAAGAAAAGGGAGACTATGATGAAAGGAGTTCTGTAAGATTTGACTTTTGAAACTAAAGGAAAAAACCTAAAGAGCAGAGATATAAGAACTTAAAAAAGTTATTATCCCAAATTTCACTGAATATAAATAAAAGGGGATTTCCTGAGAAACTCTTAGTCTTATTTCTGACCTCTAGAGTAGCTGCTTAATTTTCTTTGGGGATCTTCTAGACTATCCCTGTATATCATTAGCAGAGGCATAAGACAAACTCATAATCACATTAACAGCATGTATACGATAGTAAACTTATAAAACATTTTGCTAAAAACTGGTAAAAAGAAACAAAATTATTAGTTTTTACTATTTCACCTCATATAATGCTATAATGAACCATTTCCATTAAGGACAAGAAAAAAACCTCTCTATTATTATTACTTAGCATCGTTTTAGAAATTCTGGCCAATGCAATAATAGAAATTCTGGCCAATGCAATAATAAGCAAAATAGTAATGAATGATACACTTTGCAGAAAACGGAAAGTACATAATTAAGATTTTGGTATTTTCTCTAGTCATGTGTATTTGGCTATATTTACAGTGCCACCCATGAGTTCCCTCTCACTGAGTGGGCTTTAAGTCCAATTATATAGCTGTTGATTATCTCCAAGATAAAAGTGCCACTACTACACCGATAGAGTTAGAATGTAGCATTGATTGAACGTATCTTTAAAGTACACAGAAATTGAAGATATTCAATCAAACACTCTGAGATGGCAAAATCACATATACAAATCTGTTTATAAAAGTATACTAGTATCAGCTTATTACTAAAAATGTTAAAGTCATATATATGGAAGAACAATATAATGAATGTTTCTCAATTGTGAAAATAAATATTAATAATGATTTAAAAAAGATTTTGGCATTAGACAAAAACCTAAGGTCAGTCCCTGTTCTGATCTTATTGTAAATATAACTTCATGTTTTTGCCTTTCACTATTTGTTGTATAAAGTAGCCAAAATTAAAGGAATTCATATATAGTAGTTACAACATATCTGTATACTATAAATAATTACTGGAGGGATTATGATGATGGTGTGTATCATTACATTACTACATTCTAAAATCCCAGAAGACTATATGAAAATTGGTAGAATACGAAATGTATGGGATAAGAGATAAGCAAAAATCTAAGACTCTACTAGGAAAAGAAAGCCTTTGAAAACAGAAATAGAATTATAAATGATAAAAAGTAGCCTTTAAAATAAACAAATAAATATATAAAGTGATGAATACACACATAAATTTAATATGTTCCTGGATAAAACTATTATAAGCATATCAGTTCTTAAATTTAATTTGTAAGTATAATGTATTAACAATATATATTCCAACAGGATGAAATCAACAACAAAAATTACCCTAGAATGTGTCTGGTTAAAAGAAAAGAGAACAGAGCCTGAAGAGGTACCTAAGGGGTTAAGAGCACTTGCTGTTCTTCCAGAGAACCTGGGTTTGATTCTCAGCACCCACATGGCCCTGTTCTCAGCTCCACTACCCTGTTCTGGCCTCTGTGGGCACTGCACATACACTAGGTAAAAAGACAGGCAAACAAAACACTCATACACACAGAAAGAAATAAATCATTTTTTAAAAAGTCAACATATGACTAAAGAAAACAAACAAAAAAGGGAAAATGAAGCCAAAGTGAAGGAAGAGTGCTCAGAGAAATCAAAGAATAGCTTACACCTACACTCAGCACATAATAGACAACAAGCAGAAGATCAAAGGAGAAAAGACGAGCATAGAAAAATGCAGCTTGATGCACGTATGCTAGAAATTCATTCTCTGGTATGTATAAGAATTTAATAGATTTATTATATATCAGTGGTAGATTAAGTTTGAAAGACAAAGGGGGAAGGAGGAAAGGAGAAGAAAAAGGGAGGAGAGAGAGGGAGAGGGAGAGAACAAATGACAATAAAAATTAGGAGAAAAAATGGGCTATAGATGGTCACAGAGCATGAGCCTAGTATGTGAAGGCTCTGGGTCTGCATCACAGATTTACAAAATTCTAATTCTACTAATTCTAATTCTACTCTCAGTAGGAAATCCAAGGGCATTAATTCAAGCAGGTTAAGAACATGAGCTACATCTTACATGCTCTTCCCATACTTTCTTTTCTCTCTCATAGGCTTCTTTTCGCTTTCGCTCCAGTTGTTCTTTCAAAACAGCAGCACGTGCATTTGTTTGGGCCTGAAAATGAAAACAATTAACACAGTTCACTGAAAGGGCCTATGACTGTCCCTCCTCAATCTGGGTCTATAGTGACACTGACTTTGTAGCCAACAGAGATGCATGTGTGTGGTTCCAGAATACAAATGTCAATTCACTTCATATCCATAGCAGCTTGAGTCAGGTCCAACATCTAATAGGAGCTCAGTTAATATTTGCTGAATAATACTAAATGCAAGGACATTGGAATAAAAATTAAAATATAAAAATTTAAAACAGTAGCTACATATAATTCCATTTCTCTTCAAAGAAATAGATAACTTTTAGATTTTTAAGGTTACTGTGCCTTGAGACAGGGTCTATATAGGTCAGTGTGGCCTGGAATTCATGGCAACCCTCCTGCCTCAGCCCCCTGAGAGGTGAGAGGTGTGAGTCACCACCCTAGTTGTTTTCCTTTTACAGAATTACATGCTTCAAATAGCTTTATGTATTGACCCTATTATTTCCTCTAATTACACTTGATAAATATTATGTAAAAGGAAAAAAATGCTGTTTTCCAGAAACCATATGGAGAAAAAGAGAAATAAAAAAGCAAGAGGAGAAAATGATTCAACTATATAAAAAACTTAAGAATGAATTTTCTATATCATCTTCGAATTTCCCTAAGACACTCTAGTCTGTACCTTAAGTGATTCAATTTTTTTGAGCCTCGAGTCAGCCTCTTCAGTTGTTTCTTGTCCGTCGACACCATCAGCTTCTTTCTACAATGTAAATCAATAAGCACAGTACTTAGCAAACAAACATCAAGCTCAGTGCAGACTTCTGAGAGGGCAAATCTAAAAGAGCTACCAGTAAGTACAAAATGGAAATATTCAACATTGCCAGTTTTCTCCCAAGGCTGCAATGGAACCCTCCAGAACCGATGACACAATGATGTGAGTGTACTTCGATTTTTCCTGGACACTAACATTTTCTGTTCAGAATTCCTGTGGAACAATGCTCTTACCAATATAAAACTATGTCAGATTTACTTTGTCCCTACATGGAATTTTCTGGTCTCTGATTTTCATTCCTTAAGTTTTTATTTTTTATTATTATTGGCACAGCATTTTAAATCTTTATTATAATATCATTCAATTCCTTTACTAATTTTTATTTTATTTGTATGAGTGTATTGCCTGCATGTCTGTAAGTGCACCCATGTTGTGTAATGCCCGCGGAGGTCAGAAAAGGGCATTTAATCCCCTGGAACTGGAGTTACATATGGTTGTTAGCTGCCATGTGGGTGCTGGGAACCAAATCTGGGTTCTCTGCAACAGCAAACAGTGCTTTTAACCAGTGAGCCATCTCTCCAGGCCCCATTTAATTACTTAAAAAAAAACAAAACAAAACCATATTTCTGACCTACCTTTTCACCACGAAGTTTGGCTCTAATCTGTTGGCGTTCATTGAAATTCTGTAATCTTATCTGCCTCAGTCTTGCTAGATAAACCTGTAATAGGAAAAAAAAAAAAAAAACACAAAACATTCACTTAAAAGGAAAACCATGAACCCTTTTATTGCTAAAAAAAAAAAAACCTTTTAATTTATGGAAACATGTTAATCTGAATACAAGAAACAAAAGTTTGAAATTTGGTTAATGGAAATGAAATATTAGCTTTCAAGTGTTTAATTTAAAGCAATTTATTTCTGCAAAGAAAGAAATTATGTTATAATTACAAACTCTTGAATCAAAAGAAAAGAAATGTAACTCAGAAGGCTGAATAACAGTTATGGGGCAAAATTATGGCACAGCATATCAGTCAAAATATATTAACAGGTCCCTATAGACCTACAAAATTTTAAAATAATTGTTAAGCATTTAAACCATGCAAGAAAAGAAGGCAATAAACTCAAAAATGGCTGCGTGGTGGAGGTGCTGAGCATGCGGGAGGCATACCTCTTCCTCTTTGTTCCTTGGCTTCCCTCCTCTTGAAGAGCTGGGCCTGCCTCCATACATAGCTGCCAGGTTTTGCAGGAGTCCCTGTTTGTCATTTAATGTACTAAGTTTAAAGGATGACTGAGGCTACACTGCCCTGCTACCTAGGCACATCCATGTGACACTTATTTCTTTTGGCAAATGTTGGTCATTTCTAGCTGCTATACTAATAACAAGTCCAGGCACTTTTGTATAGCCGTTTTGGCAAATATATTCAGTGCAAACAGAAGGAAGTAATTAAACACACGCAATTATTAAAAAAAAAAAAGAGAGAGAGTGAATGGCTATGTTTTTACTAAGCATTAAAATAGATTTTTAAAAATCTGTGTTCATAATTAAACCCCAAAACACTACTTTTGCCTTTAAAAATATTCAATCCATTTCTACATGTCTACTTGTATACTACACACACACACACACACACACACACACACACACACACAAACACAAACTTTTGCATCTACTGCTCTGACTTCAACACATGTACCGTATACTAATGATCAAACTCTACTCTCAGACATGGCCTGAAACTGTACTGCAACTGATCAGAGGTGCAAAATGGCTCATTTTCAAATATAGATTATTGCTAACATGAAATCTTTTTTTTTTTGAGACAGGTCTCACTATGTAACCCTGGATGGACTGGCACATACTATGTAGACCAGGCTGGCTTCAAACTCTTAGAGATCTGCTTGCCTCTGCCTCCCGAGTGCTGGGATTAAGCATGTGCTCTACCACTACTAGTAATGCGGGTGGGAATTATTAGAAATTATTCACATGCTTCAGCAAAATTATCTGATTATTGAATTAACTACTTTTTCTTACTTCATCCTAAAATTATGTTTCAAATTCTTTCCAAATTAAAAAGAATTCTTTGTCCTGTTCCCCTATCTACTGTCTCCTTTCAGTGTGTGGAGGATGTAGTTTTATACTCATTATCATCTCTGTTTTCCTGACTGCCATTCATTTTTTAGCCCGGTAAACATCTGCCTTCTAATCCCAGTATAATTCTAAAATCTTTCTAAGGTCACCAATAGCGCTAGAAATGATCCTAATGTAGCCTTTTGAAGAATTTTTGCACTTCTCTCTCAACAACAGTTTGGACTGAATCGACTTCATTTACATACATGTTTCTCACATAAATAAGAGGTTCACTATAGAATATTCAAAGGTAAAGAAAACATGCATCATTTATAATTGTAACATTTGAGAACCATAAATTTTAAGAGTTTTACCTTCCAAATATCCTTGTATCTGTATGTATACATGAATACAAGCATATTTTTATAGAAACAGATTTTTCTACATTTCTGTTTTTTTTCCCACTTACAATTATATTTTGAGTCTCTTCTCACATTCCAGAACACATCATATGAATAGATGTGTAGGGACTGGTAATATAGTTCTGTGCTAGAGGACATGCTTGGCACTGCAAGGCCCTAAGTTTGATCCCTAATACTACACACACACACACACACACACACACACACACACACACACGTGCATATGAGTAAATGGGAGAAATATGTGAGACTAGAAGCAATATAAAATTAGACAACTGTTTTGGAAATCCAGAAGTCAAAAGAAGAAAACCCTGAGCTAAGGCAGAAACTAAAGGGGCAAATTAACATTATTAGGAGGCAGAATTGCTAACTTGGCACAGTCATTTGTATATGGTAGATAAGAGGAAGACAAAGATAAATCCCAGCTTGCTGATTTGGTGGCAGATTATAACCAACAATTGTGCTAAGAATAATGAGGCTGTAAGAGAATGGTAAAGTCAAGATCAGAAACTGTTTGAGGTAGTTTTGTTGCATTAAAGTAGAGTTATTCAATGTCAACTTAATAAACTCTAAATCTTATAGTTCAAGTGCGGAAAAGGCTATATGGTTGAGGGGTTTTTGCTGTTGCTTTTGGAGACAGGGTCTGCCAAGGCTGTTCTTGAGTTCCTGGGCTCAAATGATCCTCCTGCTTTAGTTTCTGCAGTAGCAAGGCATGAATTTGGTGCCTCCTCTGATGTATGATACCATCATATGTGAGATAATTTTTGACAAAATACACAGCAGTTACCTACAAAGCTGCAGGAAAGTAGGAATGTAGCCAATCACAAAATTATGAGATTTTTCTACAATTTGTTTTGTAACTTGATCGAACAGTTCTTGAGCATAAACTTTATATATGACAATGTGGTCCAGAGAAGCCAAAAGTTTGGCTATCTTCTTTCATGGTATTCTCTGAACACATAATGACCAACAAGTCAACATCAAATGTGCTCAACTCTGCTGGATCATGCATCTCCCTTATAGCCTTGGCTCTGAATATATGACATACACTTTGCACTGTAAGTAATGTTACTCCACACAATACCAAAGAGCACTGTCTGAAATACTGACTCAAGACTATGAAATGAAGTATTTTTACTGGATATGAGAGTTTTCTGCCCTTATAGAAATATAATTATTTAATTACACAAAACAAGAACTTTTAATAATTTGCTACCATAATTCCTCAGCATGTAACAAATTAGTATATTTTTAGATTGTGTTATGCTAGAATGTTTGACTTAAAAATTGCTGTTGGAGTTGCTGACTTGTATTTTTAAATATTTTATTATTTTTATTTAATGTGTATGATTGTATTGCCTGCATGCATGTAAGTGCAATGCAATGCCTGTGGAGGTCAGAAGAGGGTGTCAGATCCCCTGGAACTGGAGTTATGGATGGTTGTTAGCCACCATGTGGGTGCTAAGAACCAAACCTGGGTCCTCAACAAGAGCAGCCAATGCCTTCTCTCCAGACTTGTTTTTTAAAAGTCATTAAATGAATTTTGGCATGGGATTAGGACAGAACCTGCAGCAATTTCTGAAATGGTCCTAAATATATACTGCCATTTTGTGCTATGTATTAATATGAAGCAACATTCTCATTTCTCTCGACGATTATAAAATAAAAATTCTAGACAATTCTAACAAATGTTGGAAGAGTCTGTACATCCTGCAGTATGAAATATTTAACCAAGACTTAATTCTTTATATAGCAATAAACAAACACATCTCATTAAAAGGCAAATTTGCTTTATACCTATACCAAAAATTATTTTCTATAGATGTTCCTTTATGATTTATTAGCAATAAATGTTTTAATTGTATACTTATTTTATATAGCTACATACCCATAAAAATTTCTCAGGCAAAAAGAGGTCACAGAAAAAGTTAAGAAGTCCTGGAATACAAGACACGCACATAAACCTACATAGCTATATCCATGTGACTCTTGACAAAAGGTGCCAGAATCATACACTGGGGGAAAAAGCCTCTTTAAAAAGTGATGCTGAGAAAGCTGGATTTATCCACATGTAAAAGAATGAAATTAGATGCCTGTGTCTCATCCTTTAGAAAACAAATATCAAAATGGATCAAATAAAATTAATAAAAGACCTGAAACTCTGAAAGGACAAGTGGGAAACAGCAGGAAAACTTTAAGACTATACAGTGATTTTCTGAAGTGGTATTAACAGCTCAGAAAACAACAGCAAGAATTAACAGATGGGAATGCATCAAGCTAAAAAGCTGAAAGCAAGGGACAGTATAAGTCAGTAGTAGTCAGCTTGCCCTCATGTACAACCTTCTGGGCTTGATTCTTGGCACTGGAAAGAAGAAAGAAAAGGGCAGTGAGAAGATGGAAGGGAAGAAGGAAGGGATGGAAGGAGGAAGGAAGGAAGGGAGAGAGGGGGGAAGGGAGGGAGGGGAAAGAAAAGGGAGAGCCAAGTATGGTAATGTAGTCACTTATGGGAGGTAAAGCAGGAAGACTGTGTTTAAGGCCAACTGGACTACATATATACCAAGTTCAAGGTCTACAGAATGGGAGAAAGTCTTTGTCAGCTGTACATCTGAGAGAGTATTAATAGATGCAATTGCTTTCCTGGGTCACCTGCTGTTGTTAAGACTTCACCTGTTCACCTTTGTGACTAGGTGAAGCTTGAGGAGATAACAGGGCTTTGCGACTACTGCTATTATCAGAAGAAGGAAAAACTTGTTAGTAGAACACTAACAAGTGATGGTATGGTCTCAGGCTCTGTTTCTGATTACGGATTAAGTTGTCTTCTAGGTCACCTGCTGTGCTGGATAGCTTTAGTGTCAACTTGACACACCTGGGTTGAGGGAGTTTCAATTGGGGAATTGTCTCCATTGGACTGGCCTGTGGCCATGTCTGAGGGGCATCTTCTTGATTGAGTGATGTGGGAGGGCCCAGCCCACTGTGGGTGGTGCCACCCTGGGCACATGGGCCTGTGTTGCATAAGAAAACAGGCTGAGCAGGGCCCAGGGGAGCAAGCCAGTAAGCAGCTTTCCTCCATGGCCTGTGCTCCAGCTCCTGCTTCCAGGTTCCTCCCCGAGTTCCTACCTTGGGCTCCCTGATGAACTGTGACCTGGGAGTTGTAAGCTGAATAAATCCTTTCCTCCCCAAGTTGGTATTGGTCAGAGTGTTTGTCACAGCAATGAAGAACAAACTAGGAGACCTGCCTATGCTCTGGTTGTGCTGCGTGGCTAGGTTCACCTGCGGTTTCACTGTTTCTCTCACACTGAACCACTCCCAAGGCTCTGATGTTGTAAGGGGCTCGTAAGACTTCCCATCTCTGTTCTATTTAGAAGGAAATGTCAAGGAAAACTGAGTTTATGCCATTTATTCTATAACTGAACAGAGGTTTTTTTTTTTGAGACGGTCTCACTACGCAGTCCAGGCAGGCCTCATATTCATAGAGATCTGCTTGCCCCTGCTTCCTGAGTGTTGGAATTAAAGGCATGTGTCACCACATCTAGCTGAATATACTTTCTGATAAAATTTTCAAAATTATTTATTTATTTTATGTGTATGAGTTTTGCCTGTATGTAACTGCACTGTGTAATGTAATGTCTGTGGAGGTCAGAAGAGGGCATCAGACTGCCTGGAACTGGAGTTACAGACAGTGTTAGCTGCTATGTGGGTGCTGGAAACTAAACATGGGGCCTCTGCGAGAGCAGCCAAAGCTCTTAATGGCTACGCCATCTC